CTTTTTAAAAAAATTTTTTATAAGTAATGGCAGTGATCAGCGACTTATAGTGGGACTGAAGTGGGCATTCTGACATTGGGGGGAATTGACTTGGTGTCACTGACATCCCCAGTGACACTAATACAGTGATCAGTGCTAAAATAAAACACTGACACTGTACTAATAGCACTGGGCAGGAAGGGGTTAACATAAAGGGCGATCAAAGGGTTAACTGTGTGCTGGGTGTGTTTTTACTATGGGGCCATGTGTTTGTGCTTCACTGCAAGCACACTGCATTGCATGGCTATGCTGTGTACAACCATGCAAAGCAGTGTGCGTGAGCTGACAGGGAGGAGAACTGTCTTGTTTACAAACAATTCTCCTCCCTGTCGGAGATCATCGGCAATCACTGTGTGCCGGAGAGTAGTCACCGGCCGGGACCCTGTGTTTGACAGCTGCAGCTGAGAATAGTGTGTTCCATGCTTCTCCTGGAAGTACGCATCCCTGCCGCCATGTAGCAGTATTTCTGCTATAAGGTGATTGGGAAGCGGTTAAAGAAAAATAAATAAATAAAAAACAAATGCTTTTGTTGTCCCCAACAAAGCAACGTATCAAGGCCATTGAGATCCTTTTTGTTTGAACATGGTACGCTGGTGCTATCTTGGATTTGAATTCTTGGATTCAGATTGGAGTTGCACCCACATACTGTACTTATCAAATATAACACTTACGGGTGTTCTACATGTATATGTATTCACAAACATGTAAAAAAGGAAACAAGTTTGTCAGGATCTATTACTTTTTGTTTTAAATCTGAAATACTTTCGAGTTCAGTTAGGGGGTTGATTTACTAAAACTGGAGAGTGCAAAACCTGGCGCAGATCTGCATAGAAACCAATCAGCTTCCAGGTTTTATTGCCAAAGCTTAATTGAACAAGCTGAAGTTAGAAGCTGATTGGCTACCATGCACAGCTGCACCAGATTCTGAGTGCACCAGTTTTAGTAAATCTCCCCTAAGTGTAATATAATATATTTGATTGTAGACATAATAAATAAAACAATTTCATGAAGTATGAGGGTGTTTTCCTTGGTTTACATGTACCTGTCAGTTCTTGCAGCCTTCTTTTCATCTCAGAAGTTTACTTGTTATTTAGTTAATCAGGACATTTTGAACATAAAGAAACAGCAGATTTCCCATTATGTAAACTGATAAACGTACCAGTCTAGGTCCTTATCTTCAGCTATGGGTAATGACCGAAAGGACAAGTTTGTGTGTATGTCTGCCAATGGCAGGGAGGAGGATTTTCCATAGTGTTGCTGGGCTTTTCAGTCATAGATCTACTGCTCTTTGATAAAAAGGGACTAATATGTGTACATTTTAAAGGCTCGTAGGCCTTTGCCGAGCTATTCCATGTGTGAAGCTTTAAAGCTTTGGGTACAATACCTTTTGGTACGTGTCACAAAAAGCCTATGGCACACAGTTTGCACAGTAGTTATTCTGAGCATCCTTGCCCCTGCAATTTGGGGCTGTAAACCAATTAGGATAACTGAAAATGATGATGATAATGTTACAGTAATGAGGGTAGAATGCTGATGGTAAAAAGCATAGGTATATGAATCAGATATTGTGTATTGAATATTCGCTGTGCTTAAATAGCAGTGACAGATCATGTACATTCTCCATTTAAATATTGCAAAAAGAAATGTGTGCAAGTGTGTTTTTCTCTGTGCACAAACATAGCAAAAGCTATTCTCATGTAAAGCCATTTCATAAAAATAAGAACTAGCAAATTATATACAGTTCCTTTATTAGACTTTGAACACAGTCTGGGGTGACAAAAAAATCTAAATAGTTATAAATACACAAACATGTATACACATACAGTGTATACTTGTTTTAATACCAAGATTTAATGTGAACATGTACTTTGCACAATATGGGGCACAGCAAAAGGATGACTTTGATTTAACCATCCTCAGTAGAAATATGTTTTTCCTTTCTTTTACTCCCTTGTTGCGCTGTAAGCCCCTGGTCACATCGGGTGCGACTTGGCATGCAACTTGCAAATTGGATGCCAAGTTGCACCCTATTCGCTATTAGAGTGGTCATATCGATGCGGTTCTGACTAGGTTGGAGTCGCACCGATTTCTAAAGTAGTTCATGCACTACTTTTGTTGCGATTTGCAAAGACATCTGTGTCAGATGTCTTGCAAATCACAGTGAAATAGGCAGGTCACCCAATTTTGAAATCGTGCGACTTCACTGTAAGTGAAGGTTTTTTGTCAAAACATTTATACTGTATATCTATCTATCTATCTATCTATCTATCTATCTATCTATCTATCATCTATCTTCTATCTACACAGTATTTGTGTGTGTGTGTATGTGTATATATATATATATATATATATATATATACACAGTGGACATTAAAAGTCTACACACCCCTGTTAAAATGTCAGGTCTTTGTGATGTAAAAAATGATAAATAATTTGAGAGCTTTTTCCACTTTTAATGTGACCTATAAACTGTACAACTCAACTTAAAAACAAGCTAAAATCTTTTTTTTTTTTGGGGGGGGGGAAATAAACACAAGAAATTTAATTAATGTGTTTGCATAAGTGTGCACACCCTCTTATAACTGGGATGTAGCTGTGTTCAGAATTAAGAAATCATATTCAAAATCATGTTAAATAGGAGTAAGTACACACCTGCCATCATTTAAAGTGCCTCTGATTAACCCCAAATATAGTTCAGCTGTTCTAGTAGGTCTTTCCTGACATTTACTTAGTCGCATCCTGCAGCAAAATGGTCCGCAGAGAGCTTCCAAAGCATCAGAGAGATTTCATTGTTAAAAGGAATCAGTCAGGAGAAGGGTACAAAAGTATTTCCAAGACATTGGATATACCATGGAACACAGTAAGGATGGTCATCATCAAGTGGAGATAATATGGTGCAACAGTGACATTACCAAGAATTGGATGTCCCTCCAAAATTGATGAAAAGACAAGAATAAAACTGGTCTGGGAGGCTGCCAAGAGGCCTACAGCAACATTGAAGGAGCTGCAGGAATATCTGGCAAGTACTGGCTGTGCAGTACATGTGACAACAATCCCCCGTATTTTTCATATGTCTGGGCTATGGGGTAGAGTGGCAAGATGGAAGCCTTTTCTTATGAAGAAAAACATCCAAGCCTGTGATAAATTTTACAAAAACACATCTGAAGTCTCCCAAAAGCATGTGTTAAAATGTGTTTTTGGTCTGATGAAACCAAGGTTGAACTTTTTGGCCATAATTCCAAAAGATATCTTTGGAGAAAAATCAACACTGCACATCACCAAAAGAACACCATACCCACAGTGATGCATGGTGGTGGCAGCATCATGCTTTGGGGCTATTTTTCTTCAGCTGGAACTGGGGCCTTAGTCAAGGTAGAGGGAACTATGACCAGTTTCAAAAACCAGTCAATATTGGCACAAAACTTTCTGGCTTCTGCTAGAAAGCTGAACATGAAGAGAAACTTCATCTTTCAGCTTGACAACGACCCAAAGCATACATCCAAATCAACAAAGGAATGGCTTCACCAAAAGAAGATTCAAGTTTTGGAATGGCCCAGCCAGAGCCCAGATCTGAATCTAATTGAAAACCTGTGGGGTGATCTGAAGAGCACAGGAGATGCCCTCGCAATCTGACAGATTTGGAGTGTTTTTGCAAGGAAGAGTGGGCAAATATTGCCAAGTTAAGATGTACCATTCTGATAGACTCATACCCAAAAAGACTGAGTGCTGGAATAAAATCAAAAGGTGCTTCAACAAAGTATTAGTTTAAGGGTGTGCACACTTATGCAACCATATTATTTTAGTTTTTGACTTTCACTTCTATCCACCTAAAAGATTGCAGTTTGTTGCTCAACTGAGTTGTACAGTTTAATGGTGGAAAAAGTTCTGAAATTAGTTATCTTTGTATCATTTTTCTTACATCAGATACCTGTGTGTGTATGTGTATGTGTATGTATATGTGTGTGTATATATATATATATATATATATATAAATATTTTTTTTATTTACTTTAAATGATTAATGTATTTTTTGCAAAAAATATTCATGAAAGTATTGTATAAATTTATACCTATGTATGTGTGCATGTATAATATTATTACCAAAGTAATCATCCAAACACATTAAGAAAAAAAATCGATCTGTTTATCTATACATACATACTGTATGTGGTTGTGTTTATATGTATATATATATATATATACAGTATTTTTCGCTCCATAAGACACACTTTCTTCCCCCCAAAAAAGGGGGGAAAAATGTCAGTGCGTCTTATGGAGCGAATATAAAGCGGCCGGTCCGGTATTTCTGCCGCCACCATGTCAGAATACCGGGCCGGCTGCTCAGCTGTTCTCTCCTGCAGGGCCTTACCTGTTCCTCGCTCCAGCGCTGCACAGTCTTTCCGCGCTGGCTTCTGTGACAGCCACGTGCCCACTGCGCATGTGCTGCGCTTTGTGAATGATCCGGTGTCTTCTGGGACACATGACAGGTCCCAGAAGGCGCCGGGCCATTCACAAAGCGCAGCGCTTCTCGCGCATGCGCAGTGGGCACCCGGCTGTCACAGAAGCCGCCCGGGAAGAAGAGCGAAGGACAACTCCGCGGAAGTGGGATCGGGTACCTGTCAAATTCAGGTACCCGCTCCCCCTCCCTCCCCAAAGGTCAGCAGTCTCTGGTCATTCCCTGCACTGTCTGCAGTCTCTGGTCATTCCCTGCACTGTCTGCAGTCTCTGGTCATTCCCTGCACTGTCTGCAGTCTCTGGTCATTCCCACTGCACTCTGGTCTTCCCTGCAGTCTGCAGTCTCTGGTCATTCCCTGCACTGTCTGCAGTCTCTGGTCATCCCCTGCACTGTCTGCAGTCTCTGGTCATCCCCTGCACTGTGTCTGCAGTCTCTGGTCATGGTGTCATCTCATCTCTGCACTGTGTCCGCAGTCTCTGGTCATCTCCTGCACTGTGTCCGCAGTCTCTGGTCATCTCCTGCACTGTGTCCGCAGTCTCTGGTCATCTCCTGCACTGTGTCCGCAGTCTCTGGTCATCTCCTGCACTGTGTCCGCAGTCTCTGGTCATCTCCTGCACTGTGTCCGCAGTCTCTGGTCATCTCCTGTACTGTGTCTGTCTCTGGTCATCTCCTGTATTGTGTCCGCAGTCTCTGGTCATCTCCTGTATTGTGTCCGCAGTCTCTGGTCATCTCCTGTATTGTGTCCGCAGGTCTCATCTCCTGGTCATCCCCTGTACTGTGTCTGCAGTCTCTGGTCATCCCTGTGCTGTCCGCAGTCTCTGGTCATCCCCTGTACTGTGTCTGCAGTCCATTGGTTCAGAATATTTTTTTTCTTGTTTTTTTCGCCTCTAAAACCTAGGTGCGTCTTATGGTCAGGGGCGTCTTATGGAGCGAAAAATACGGTATATATATATATATATATATATATATATACTGTATATATTCATTTAATATTTTTTTTACAATATATATACATATATATACATATATATATATATATATATATATTTTTATAATGATTAATGTATTTTTTGCAAACAATATTCATAAACGTACTGTATAAATTTACACATATGTGTGTATCTATAATATTATTGCCAAAGTAATAATCCACACATTTGCTAAAAAAATTATCTATCTATTGATAATTTTGTTTTTATTGAATGTATGTGGATGTTTACTTTGGTTCCTATGCTTATATATTCATGAATATGTGTGCTTTTACAGTATTTGGACACAGTTTGGAAGAAATATATTTCTTACAGAACCTGCCCTTAATATTGAGATACAGACTTGACTGAAGGACATGCAGAATATCAAGGCAAATACTTACCACCTAACCACTAAAACAACCACCCCCTCAACCTTTCCCCACCTGAAATAACCACAAGACTCTCCTTTTCGTGTAAAATCGGCCATAGCAGCCCATTTATTTAACATAATTCTTACATAACACTTCATACAGTACAATCAAATAATAACTGACAGTAATGATCCCAACCAGGTCCAAGGTCTTTGAAGGCACTGTTTCTCACATCAATAACTCGGCTGTATCTGACACCCAATGAAAAGGCCCCCAGCCGCTACTACAAGCCGCCTCGGGACAATATTACAATTACGTAGTCCTAGATACAGCCAATGAACTCCCACCTTACCAACGTAACCTTATAATTGGGAAGGAACACCCATACCTACAATGGGCCCAAACCATAATCCACCAAATTGTCACTCCAGCACCACCTTCAAAGACCCAGCGACCCCTGCCAGCTGCCATGACAAAACAAAACACCAGGACACAAAATGCCCATCAAGAAAAGAAAAGAAAATCATAGAACGCACACAAAACAAGCAACAGGACAAACACAAAGGACAAAACCAATAACCAAAAACAAAAACAAACAAAACAGCACAAAACAAAGCAAAGAAACAGGTCCAGGGAGGGAGGGCAGGAGAAACCACACCCGTGCTGGCACAAGCTCCAACTGATATTCAACAAGTCCCAACCCCTCTCCTCATCCTGGCAAAACCACCCTCAAGCTCGAATACTCCAATCAGGTGAGTAACCACCCCTACCTCCTGAATATACTCCCACCCAAATCCAATCTCTGCCTCGTCTGCAAGACCCAGTCATGCTGGCCCTCCCCTTAGATTCACTCAGTCCAGGCCCTGACTGGAGAAACACTTCTCCAGTCTGTTCTCACTTTGATGCTGAGAGGGAGGGGGTGAGCAAGAGGAGGAAACCAAGTGAGAGAGCGCCATGCACAGAGCCTATGATTGCTCCTAGGGTTAAGAAGGAAGGAATGTGTGCATGTTCTGTAATATACTCTGCCGAGGTGGCAGATAGGAAGTGTAGTCTTTGCATAGGACCAATGGCAGAGAGTAATGATGTGGCTGTGTGGGGCATGAGGAGGCACAGTCACGCTAATTTTAAAAACAAACTGCTATGACACAGAAGGTGCACACTAGGATTCTGGCAAGAGGACAAATGTAAGTTGATTTCTGGGCTCATATATGCTCTCATGCTGCATGTTACACCCTACATACGGTTGTAACGTTTAAAATGGGGCGAAAGGTACACTTATCCTTATCCTTTAACATATTAGGGATATCACCAGCACTAATTTACTAGTTGATTTAATGTAGGCACTAACTGAAATTCTGAATTCATTCTCAGGATTGAATGTACCCTGGAGATTAGTTCCTTACAGAGCAGGATTAGTTAAAGGTCCAGATTCAGCATCAAAACATACAGAAGCATCCATAACCGACATATAAATCCATGTACATTAATCAAAAGATAAATGTCACTAGACTAAATCCATTTTCTATTCTACTAATTCAAACAAATAAAATAAAAAACACACAGACAGTAAAAAGTAATAGATATGCACAGCCAGAAATCAATAGAGGGTAAGCTTTACAAACATGTCCGCTTATTCCCTGTAGGAAGTTCTCTAATAACAAGCTCTAGCTGCTTCACAGATTTACTTTCCCATGTGTTACAATTGTTTTATTGATAGTCATAATCTAAAATAACAGTTAACAACCAACATTTATGAAGTTTATGAAGCACAGAAGCCCCTGGACCGCAGCCTTTTCAAATATCATTTTTATTGTTATAGTTAGCACAAAAGAACTGTAGGCTGCTAACCTATCCTGTATCCTAGCAGGTAAAGTATATTGAAAAAATTGCACAGTATGGAGCAACAAAGAACAGAAGACTGAACCCTATGGCACTGGAAACCTGTGGAGTGGAACAACGGTAACTCCAAGGTATGCTCTAGTCAAACACAATCTTTCGCCTTTTAAAACTTACCAAGCACACAGTAAACCTGTCTGTCTTCTTTATTTTTTTCTATCCGGAAATTTCACATTTATGTATGTATTTTCTTTATAACCACTATAGCTATAACAAGTATAAAAAAAAACAATATCGCAGTGGATTTGTTGTGTTAAGATAGTGAGCTGCTCTTTAACATTTCACTATTGCTCTTTTTCAAGTCTGCATAACTAACTAAAAAGATGGATAAGGTAAACCATAACATATGTAATGTACTATGTATATGTTTCTAGGTTTTCAACTGGAGAAATAGATTCCTTGGATGAAAAGCCAGCTTTTAATGCCAGTTAGAATAGGATTAGGGAACCTAGATGCTACTATTTGTTTTAATGTAGGGATTTGTGAGGGATGAGTGTGTTGATCTGTAGCATGAGGCAGTGGGTTGTTAGACACATCTCTAAAGTTGTTCACACCTCTTAAATTCCTATTGCATAATCTTTGCAAAACCTCCTTAATTATGGGTAGATGTTGGCCTCAAATTTATATTTGCCTACCCCTTTTTGTACTGGGACCTGGCACTGTCACTGGTGTCGCTGTAACCCATGAAGAGATAATTTCTTACCCATCATACTTGTCGACCAATAGGGTACCACCTTAAGAACAATTATAATTACCTAACAGCTCAATGTAATTGATATATGATCAGGAATCATGCTTATAATTATTAGCAAATCTAAAGGAGACTGCAATCAAATTGTAGTGAGTATGGCCAAATGTTTCAAGTGTTGGCAGTGATGTGTAACAACTGTTTTTCTAACATAGCACAATGGTGTAATATCCCTATAAATGAGGGTGTTTTTTATTGCATTTATTTATATTATAACTAAAGCAGGGAGGAGCTACAAGTGTAGGATAATTTACTTGCAACCCATTATCCCCTTCTGCCTTAGCAGAACTAACCAATACTACAGTTAAAATTTAGGAACCACAAAGTCCCTGCCAGCAGCTGTGATTATCATCAAAACAACTGTTTTGGGTCCGGAGAGGACCCTAGAATGGATTAGGTTGTATAAATGGCCTCTATTTCTCTTCAGCTCACACGTAAGTGTCCAAAATCTGCTTGTCCAAATGGTCCAGCATCTGGCCTTGACGGGAACAATTGAAAGAATGCTCCATGTATGTGAAGTCACCTCTATGCTATATTGCCAAAAGTATTGAGACGCCTGCCTTTACACGCACATGAACTTTAATGGGATTCCAGTCTTAGTCTATAGGGTTCAATATTGAGTTGGCCCACCCTTTGCAGCTATAACAGCTTAAACTCTTCTGGGAAGGCTGTCCACAAGGTTTAGGAGTGTGTCTATGGGAAAGTTTGACCATTTTTCCAGAAGCGCATTTGTGAGGTCAGGCACTGATGTCAGATGAGAAGGCCTGGCTCACAGTCTCCACTCTAATACATCCCAAATATGTTCTGCCGGGTTGAGGTCAAGTTCCTCCACCCCAAACTCGCTCATCCATGTCTTTATGGACTTTGCTTTGCGCACTAGTGCGCAGTCATGTTGGAACAGGAAGGAGCCATCCCCAAACTATTACCACAATGTTGGGAGCATGAAATTGTCCAAAATGTCTTGATTTGCTGATGTCTTAAGAGTTCCCTTCACTGGAATTAAGTGTCCAAGTCCAACCTCTGAAAAACAACCCCATACCAAAACCCCCCTCAACCAAATTTTGCACTTGGCACAATGCAGTCAGGCAAGTACTGTACTCCTGGCAACCACCAAACCCAGACACATCCATAAGATTGCCAGGCAGAGAAGCATGATTTGTCATTCCAGAGAACACATTTTCACTGCTCTAGAGTCCCTGTGCCTGCGGGGGTTTCCTCTGAGTACTCCGGTTTCCTCCCACACTCCACAGACAAGCTTGCAGGTTAATTGGCTCCTGTCTTAACTGGCCCTATTATGTGTGAATGTGAGTTTGGGACCTTAGATTGCAAGCTCCTTGAGGGCAGGGATTGTTGTGAATGTCCTATATCTATATATATATATATACATATATATATATATATATATATATATATATATACAGTGAGGAACAGAAGTATTTGAACACCCTGCGATTTTGCAAGTTCTCCCACTTAGAAATCATGGAGGGGTCTGAAATTCACATTGTAGGTGCGTTCCCATTCTGAGAGACAGAATTTAAAAAAAAAAAAATTCAGGAAATCACATTGTATGATTTTTAAAGAATTGATTTGTCATGCACTGCTGAACATAAGTATTTGAACACCTGAGAAAATCAGTGTTAATATTTGGTACAGAAGCCTTTGTTTGCAATTACAGAGGTCAAAAGTTTCCTGTAGTTCTTGACCAGGTTTGCACACACTGCAACAGGGATTTTGGCCCACTCCTCCACACAGATCTCCTCTAGATCTGTCAGGTTTTGGGCTGTCGCTGAGCAACACGGAGTTTCAGCTCCCGCCAAAGATGTTCTATTGGATTTAGGTCTGGAGACTGGCTAGGCCACT